CCCCCTGATACCGACCTACGGTCTGCTGCCTTGCTTGCAAAGTCCGCATCAGCGTACCTCTGCAAGCTTAATCCCTCCACCGTATCTCTCTGAAACGAAATACCAAAGTGACTCGTCCTCCTCGCATAGCCTAAAATATCCATCGCTGCATTCCAGTGTACCAGCTTCGGAGATGCGCAATACCTAGCTACTGCCCTTACTGCATTCGCAATGTCTGGCCTAGTCTGAATCGCCAGCCATATCCACGATCCTACCAGCTCACGAAACGGAAAGTCTGTCGCTACCTCATCCGCATCAAAATCAGAAAGCTTCACACCCGAAGACATCGGAACGCTCCTACCTCCCACTACTCCATATTCTGCTGCTAGCTCGTCCGTGAAAGTCTGCTGAGAAATCGTCAACCTACCGGTCTCCTTATTCCTCTCGTAAAAGCACCCAGAATACCATCTCAACTCTCCCAGGTTCTTCACTGGCACGGACTTGTTAAGGTCGGCGCCAAACTTATCACATCTCTCCCTCTCTCCAACAGCAAAAATGTCATCTACATGTACTACCAAAATCAAAACAACACATCCATCCTCAATCAAACGAAACACACAAGCATCGGCCATGCACTGCTCAAATCCTAACGCCACCAAACACCTCTTCAGCATTGCATGCCACTGCCTACATGCCTGTCTCTTGCCTAGTTTTGCAATCATTCCAGATAGAGCTCCACATCCCTGCGGCAAACGGATGCACACGTCTTCCTCCAACTCCGAACGCACAAAAATTTGCGCAATATCGAAATGACACAAGTCGAGGTTCAACTCGCACGCCAAAGCAGCCAACATCCTAACACATGAAACAGAAACGGTAGGCGCGTACAACTCTCCAAAGTCAATGTACTCTCTCTGCATATCACCTCTCGCTACAAGTCTCGACTTAACCTTAGTGGGCCATCCAAACTCATCTGCCTTCCAATCGAATACCCACTTAGCGTGAATTGCGTTCTCCACTAGGTGCAACATCGCCGGAGTAAAAGTCCCCGCTTCCAACAAGCCATTAAACTCCCTTTGCATAGAGTCGCTCCAAAGGTGCCGGTGCTCCGACGCCATGGCCTCTTTGTAGCTCTTGGGGACACGAAGGTCGCTGGCCTGGCAATGCGGAAGGTCAGGGCGTTGCTCCGGCGGGCGCTGGTCTCGCAGCGTGGCGTCGATGTCTTCCCGGT